GGTCAAGGTCAGGTCAAGGGTACAAATTGCAAGTTCCTACAGTATCGGCCTTGCACCGTAGTTGCCGAAGAATGGAGTCATGGACTGAGACTGATCGCCCAAAACGTGTTCTTAGGCTACCAAGACAATATTCGTTGCATACAATATCATTCAGAGGTCAAGGTCAAGGTCAGGTCAGGTCAGGTCAGGTCACCAAAAACAAAATATAGAAAAGGGCATGTGCGACACATGTTTTATGGGTCATTTTAATCATAGAATTCAATAGGCACACTCAATAAGTGATATGGACCACCTCTGGATGAATTTCAGGTCGAGGTCAGGTCAAGGTCAGGTCAAGTGAGGTCAAATTTTGAAGTTGGTTGTTAAGGCCTAAAAAGGTGTCTATCTGATGCAGTTTTTCACGGCGAATCGAATGGTGCTATTTTTGTTTCCGTACGAGGTCTAGAACTTCCAAAAAAAGTCATTTTTTAAATTTTTTGTGTGTCGTGACGTCATAAAATTTTGAATAACTCCCACATTTTTGAACCGATTCTTCTAAAAATTGGTATGTAGGTGCACATAGACCACTTCTCTGACATATATTCCGGTTTTTTCGATACACTCAATATTTTGGATTTTATAATTATTTTCCCAAAAAAGTCAATTTTTTGGAAAAATTTTGATCAAAATCCAAAATTTTCAAAAAAACGAGATAGCCATTTGATAGACAAAGTAGAATTACGTATATCTTTTTTGTTACGTCTTGATTCCTTTAAAAACGAAGATGTTAGCGGCGTTTGAACTTTTGCCGTTTTTGAGGCGAAAATGGCGAACATGACGTCACTAAAACGTCAATTTCTCAAAAATTTTCCGACGGATTTCGCTCAAATTTTCAGGGAAGGTGTCAAATTGATGTAAGAAAAGGTACTGAAAGTTTGGCGGCGCTGCGCGCCGCCGTTTTTGAGATATTGCAAAAATTCGCGAGGGGGGGTAAAATTTACCCCCCCAGCCCCGCGCGGGTTAAGTAACATTTCAAGCTCTCCAATAGTGAGGCAGTAGGGTACTTGCTTACAGGTATTTTAATTATTTGCAGTTCAACACGTAAGCCTGGGGTCAAGTCAGTCCGGTGACCTCAATCTAGCCAATTATAAAATGGGCTAGTTCTGAAGGTGTTCAATCACATGAATCCATCTCCAGCATACGCATAAGCATAATATATTTCATATTTTAACCACACTTCGTAAATGCTACGGTGTAACTGTTTACCATGTCTTGCAAATTTGACGGAGGCTGACCGACGTCTTGCATCAGTTCACAGTCAGTTGACATCAACGGCCTTTTTTTAATGACGTTCAATCAAGCAAAAATGCAGTCACTATAGTCCTGAACTCAGTATTGAAGTAGCTATATCTTTATTGATTGACAAGGTGCAGGTTAATTTGCGATAAATGCAATACCGAAGGCTAGTGCGCTAATAACGAGCGCTAGTTTCTGCTGTATCGTTACTACTGCAACGGCAACCGCAAGGCAGCCACGTCCAATGCGAGCCGCCCCGGCCCGGCATGCGGCCTTGGGTGCGGCGGCTACTGCCCCGTCGGCTCCACGCATCCGACTGACCGGCCAAGGTCACCGCTCCGTCCGCCGGGAGGGCGGAGCTTAATGGTCACGTGCCTGTGACGTCACGCCTACGTACGGATAGCCTCTACTCCACTGACGGATTTTCGGAGCTGATTTTAACATTACGAGGCAACGACAAGTACCCTAACAATTGATATTTTGTTAAGAAACCATATTAGCGAAAATTGGCGCTTGAGCTGAAATGTGCTGTGCGAAAATTTGAAGCCAATCGGATAAATATTAAATAAATTATCGCCGAAAAACAGGGTCTCATGGGGTCTGAAATGCATAGTAGTTACGACCAGTTCGAAGCTACTGTTCGAAATTTGAGTATAGGTTTGCGAAGTGTCTTATCATTTCCGAGTGGATCTTTTTCCTACTTTGAAACACAAACGGAAGGACATGCACATCGCACATGAACTGAAGCATCTAAGGACGGAAGGACGGATGCACGAAGTCTGGCTGATGCAAGCCTTCCTTGGGCTGACTGCCCAGCTGCCTTGTGTCTGGTCCAGACGCTCTAGGAGTCCCACACCCGCCGCTGCCCCCCCCCCCCGGTCATCATATCATAAATACGGACACCTCCCCGGGCGCGTCAGACACTCAGCTGATCGCCCCGCGAGCTTAGCACCCGACGTCGGGGGATCGTTCATGTGCGACCCATGGCGGGATGGATAGCCGCAGCAATATAAGGTGGCGATATTAGGAAGTCAATAAGATATGGTGGAAAGAATAGGCGGGGAAGTCGTATTGAGATGAATATGAACTTGCATTGCAATGATGAAGGAAGTGATCCAGCATTGCCATTTTGTATTCATATATTTGTCACTTTTCGTTCGTTCATCCGGCGCCTGCTTGTTCCTACCGCAATTACCAAACATTCGCCTCCGTCTCCTCCCGTCTCCTCTCCTCTCCTCCCGTCTCCTCTCCTCTCCTCTCCTCTCCTCTCCTCTCCTCTCCTCTCCTCTCCTCTCCTCTCCTCTCCTCTCCTCTCCTCGCCTCTCCTCTCCTACGTTCGTCTCACATCTCATCATTTGCCTGTCTCCGGGGGACTCTCGGCACAGCGCCGTAATGAGAACCTGTCGCCCCGCCGGCGGCTCTGTCTCGGCCTGGACACCGTGTCGACTGCCTATGTCATCATCCCTGGTAGCTGCAGGGCGCTGTGTACCCAGCCCGGGGAGCGGTGTAGCGCCGCTGGCCACGGACACAGATTGGGAATCCGGCTGGTTCGATGGCGTCGGTGGTTACGGTCTGGTTACGGCTCGCCGAAAAGCCGGCTGGGAGCCGGGATTTTGGTGTTTATTGCACGGTTTATGGTCAGGCTCGGGTGCTTGAGGGCTGGACTGCCCGAGAAGAAGGGACATTCCCTGTGACGACGAGTTGTTAAAAGGCCCAGTCATCGTCCGTACTACGTAGTAGACCGTCGTGCTGTCTCAGACTACGCCAGTTGTATTCGGCGACGCCCACCCCCAAACCGACACTATTCAGTCAGCATTAGTCGGTGAGCCACATGTGCGCCCGACCAGACCCCGCGCGTGGCCCGGCGGCTCGTCTCGGAGCCAGCCGCCGCCCACCGCACTACACCCAGCAGCTGGCCCGTCCCGTGCCTCTGACGTCACTCAGTGACGTCACGGCCCGTCTCCGGCCGGCGCGGGGCGCGGAGGACCGGGGCCGACTCGTGGGTTCGCTGACCGTCTGGCCTGTTTCGGTATCGGTCGGTTGGGTGGCGACGGGACACTCGCACAGCCCCTGGGGACGCATGGCGAAGGATGTCGGACTTACACGCAGCAGATGAGAGAAAAGTGATGGAATTTAGGTGAGCGGGAGGTGTGAATAGGCCGCATGCGTCATCGGCACTTGGCGAGTGTGGTGAAACGTGCTTGCAGTTTGCAGCACTCGTCGCGTAATGCGAGTAGACTGGGCGAGGGGAGAGATAAGAATGCGTACTGCGTAGTTGCGTAGTGTTCGGCTCTATACATAGATTATGTCATTGATGACGTTGGAACAATGTGCTGCGCTCTTTGAGTGTGTTTGCGTAATGCTGAGCGACTGCTGTAGGTTTTCATTCATTGTAGACATTTTGGCAAGTTGGTGCCTAAAAGATTTTCGAAGACCACTCCCGGTCCGCCCATTTCTTGTGAAGAGTCATCGAGAACATTGTGACCACACTGCTCTCGATCTCAAACAGCGTGAATTCCCGGGGCTTCCCTGACAATGATCTAATCCCATGACGTAAAACCACGCAGTAGCTTCCAGCGGCTACCGTTTTCGGAGAAGCCAGTAGGCCTCCTTACTCAATCGCTATGCCGTGTCAGACATTATGACACGGTAAGGGCTGAATGCTCGGGTGCGTGCGCCGGGTTCTTAGAAACATCGCTGCCATATCGGAGGGGTTGAGGGTATCGAGAGAGGAAATAGACAGGGAGGGAGTACGGCGGAACTCCGCAAGTTCCCCTCCTGTCAGGATAGTACTCCCCGGCGGAAAGGACAGGGAAGGACGGGCGATCGAAAACAGGAAGGATGGCGAGATATCTACTGCACGAAAATAGAGCTGAGCAAATGCGAAGGACGGGGATTAGAGTACTGGAAATTGTATGGTATTAGAAGGATATTTGATGCGGTAGGGTGATTTTGACACCCCCTTTTCAGCCTTGCTCTCCGTTACTAGGCACAGCCTCCAATGTCGCCCACCCGCACTCGGTATCTATCAGTCGCCTTTCACCGTACAGAGCGGTCAGAACCGGACTAACCGGACTAGCCCCGCAGCGTCTGCGTCCGTGATTATAGACAGCCGGCGATACGCACAGCGTCGGCGACGCGGTGTGCGTTCGGACTGTGTGTGTCAGGAGGGCACGAACGCGCGTTTTTGGTCAGTCTGTGTAGACAAGACACCATCGCCAGGGGACGGACATAGGGTACCCACGGACATACCGAGCCTCCAGCACCTGTAGGGTTACACGGAGACTCAATAGCCGGTGTCCGGGTCTGGGAGAGATGTAATGGATGGTCCGGTCCTCGTTCCGCCGCTGGGGAGGGACGTTTACGCCAGTGAGCGCGACGGTGCGGGTATGCGCGCAGGACGGAGAGGGGTGGTGAGGAACGCTCTGCGTGTTTGCGTGGATGCGTGAATATGGAATGACCATGCAGGTAGCACGCACTGGGTATTGCTATGAATGCTCGACATCGGCTATTACCTGAATAGTTAATGTGGCAGCCTTCATGTCACGCAGAAATATTGCCAGCGTGTATGTTCATGTAGGTAGATATTCACGGTATTTTTATGCTATACTTGCATTTTCAAGTGGTCATATAAGATGCCCGATTTTATAATCAAGTGTTCATTGCTCATGCTCTGCCTGGAATGCTTCAGCCAGCTGACTTGTGGCCTCCTCTCTCCGTTCCAGCGACCAGTATTCCGAAGCCGACACCCGGTCAGCTGATTCACAGTAAGTGACGTGCCACGGGCCGCACGTGGATTCCCCGCACGTGCCATCCACGTATCTTCCTATTTTGTAACACGTACCGTGGATGGTTCGTGGTTTAATGGGAAGGGATGAGTGTGTCTTCTGTCAATTTCAATTAAAGAACACTCAGTGGGCTTTTCCCATGTCTTTTCAGAGTATTACCTAATTGGAGGGCACCGTTTAGTTTATGCAAAATATTGCTATCAATTGTCACAAATTCACCCAACACAGTCATCAGTCAAGTCTTGATGGATTGATCGATGTCCTGCCAAGTCTTTATTTTTATTGATGCTCATGTTACCTTCATTCTTTTTTTTCAACGTAGCGAGTTTTCAGTCTCGTGGTGATGTAGTTGTCACGCACTCAGTGTCAGCACATATTTTTGAGCCAGCATTGCCATAGAGATCTTATATAAGATCTCTATGACCACTGCAGCTTTGTAGCTCACCAGTCGGCGTGGCTGCCGTCTTGTATGGCGTCCTGTACGGCGTCCCGTATGCCGTGGTGTATGTCACTGTCGTACAGTGGTGGTGCCTGAACGTGCTGTCCATCTGGTCGACGTGATGTGTCAATGGCGGCTGATCTGCGCACTGCTTCCTTCCAGCTGCGTTGTTTAACTCCATCCCCTTCATTGGCTTCGGATTCTTAGACAATGTCATTATGATCACTGCGGTAAGTACTGCTTTCTCTTATTTACTTCTTTCTTATTTAATTAACTCGCTTTCTTTTGTGTTATTGGTTGCAGCCGCAGTTTTTTTTTGTTAGGCAAGGTCTGCACGAAAAAGATAAAACTCCAACTGCTGTTGCAACTGCCTTTTAGACATCCAGAAAGGGACAGTTAATGCAATGATTAGACTTGCGTCAGCTATGGTTCTGTCTATTGGACTTGAACCGATAAATGATTCTAAATTGCAAATTTTCTGAAGCGTGAGCGTTTCCGATTGGTTGAAAGCGTTGCGATTATCTCTTGTGACCGTAATATTGCACCTGCCCAGCAACTGAGAGCTCATTTCCATTTGAACTGGAATATTATTCGCTTAGGCTGTCAGTCTCAGGCGCTGTGTTGCCACCAAAGGCCATACATGGTTCAAAGAACGTGTAACTCAAGGGGAGGGGAGATGTTGCTGGTCACGGTTGCTGTGCCTTGTGGTATCTGTACGCGTGACTACAGCAACGACATGACTTGATTGGAATCATTGCTTTTGTTTGTCTTTACCAAGCTTACGACGGGCGCGTTGCTATTTTGTAACTTTTTTCGTGATGACCTATTGTGATCTTATGCGAGACACGTTTAATAACATTTCATTCACTCTACTGCTTCCCCGACCCCTCACTTTAGCTGACCCGCATGCCCGTTGACCCGACCTGACCTGCGTGACCTCTGACCTCTGCAGGGTGACTACATCGAAGCCTCTGTCGGGGTGGCGTTCGGCATCAGTACAATGGCGGCAGCGGCGCTCGGAAACGCCGTCTCCGACGTGGCCGGCATAGGTCAGTGCCGCCGCTCCTCAGCTCCGGGGAATGGGGGAGCCTTGATTGCCTCCTTGGTTCGGAAAATCAAGGGTGTGTTATAACCCCTCCTAGCTCCTGCTTAGACAAAACAGCTTTCCAGGTGATGTACAGGTCTCGCGAGATTAAGCGGTAGGTTTTGCACTTTTACATTTCCGGTTATATCTCAGAAATTAATCGATCTACGATGAAGCAATTTTACACGATCATGGCCGGCTTGTTACCCAACAAGTCGATCGCATCTTCAACACTTAAAAGCTTAAGACGACGAAGATATAGCCTGAAGTACACTAAATTTTCTAGGTGCAAAACCTACCGCTAAAACCCGCGAGACCTGTACATTCTGAATTCTCTGCCCGAATATGCAGTAACTATGCACCAAGCTCAAAAAGTTAATCAGGATGAACCCTATGAAAATACAAATCATTTTACCGTAATTTACGGTCTCCCGAAATCGTATCGTGAGAGATTTCAGCTCGAAGGTAGGGCACTCCATCTATTATGACTCGGGGTACAGCGTTGTATATGGGACGAGGTAACTGCTGATAGTCCCGCTGAGAGGTGCTCCTTCTCAGCTGTGCAGATGCTCCTCATGGTCACCGGGATATGCTGATGCAATCCGGCGAATCTCTGGCCTGGACGGGGCATAACTGCCCACATTGTTTGCCCGAATAAATTGTGTTATTTCGACCAGTGACGCAGATAGCCTCATAGAGCAGTCGCTCACCGGTTTTGATTGCACATGACTGCATCCGAATCTCTGTCGTAGCGCAGAGTGGCCGCTCGCTCTGCGCTTCTGACCTAGCCTGAGGACTTCGATAGATGTCACTCTCCAAAGGTCACACATCACAGCCTCTTTGGCTTCTGGCGGCGCTGGCTAGATCCCGGAGCAGTGAGGGCCTTTGTCAGCGGCCGGCCGAGCCAAGATATTGGTGCTATTCTGTCGTGGTGCGATGGATATTGGATTATGACTGGCCCATTGGGAATGCGGACGCGTCGCCGGCAGCGGAGCAAGCATTAGCGATGATCGTCGGTTTGAATAATCAATGAGAAAGCATTTTAGGGGAATTCAAAATCAATTCGACTCGTCGCCTATTGCGCTCCATGACTCTCAACCCAGCATGATTCTAATCAAATCGCCGAAATGCATCGTCATCATTGTTGCCTGTATTTATTCAAATTTCAAACGGACGATGGCACTGGTCCCGTGGCTGCTGCCGTGTACTCTAGCTCTCGGAAACCTACGGTAGCCGTTCGGTTGCTGCCCGCCGACATGTGAGGTTTGACGAATGATGCAACCTCCGGGTGCTACCCCCCCCCCCTCTCCGCCGGTCGGGGGGGGGGGGGAGGGGCGCAGACAGGTGTATCAGGCACGTCATCAAACGGGCAACATGCATCCCTTTGACGTCACAACCGCACGCCCGCTGCGGGTTTATGGGTGAGCAGCAATGGAGGCCAGACGCCTCTGAATGCCCGCCTCTGCGTGGTTGATAGGCGGAGCGTGTGTGGTACGGAAGCTGGGGCAGGGGGTGCCGTGTGCGGATCGAAGTCTCTCGGGTGAAGCGGAGCGCAGGGATCAAAAGGCTTTGGCAGTGGAGCAGCCAGCGTGGATCAAGTAGGAAAAGTTATCCGAACTCGAGGGCTCGTTATAAGTTTGGACGGGTTGTTGAAAGCTGGTTAATAAACCGGGCCCGCCATTGGTGCCAATGGAGCATGATCTTGGACCTTAGACGGTGGCTGACCGAAAAATTGGAAAATGAAATGAATTTGTTCATTCTTAGATGACTTGATGACCGGTAATTGTTTGTTGAAGCGCAACTTTTCCAAAAGATGCTTGAGAAGTCTATTTGTGCAGGGTATTGCTTCATTTACTCTCTAGTTAGAGATCCCGTCTCTTGCTTGTCAGTTCTCATTCCCAACTTCATCTGAAAGTGTCTGGTGGTGAAATGTCGGTATGACCTTTCTCACACATTTGACTGGAATAGGTGAGGGATACCTGCCCAGGATATTCTGCGCCGTCTGGGGTTGATGGCTATTTACGGCTGTGTAAAGTTCAATGGGCCATGAGCCATTCGATGCCTCATCGATATTCATTAAATCAAACGACGATGCATGGCTTCCTTCCGGCTCGTTGGTACCAATCCCGATGGGATTTTCAGACTTCCTGCCGTGACCGCAGGAGATTGAAAATCTATGACTTATCATACCACCGTAAGAGGTTCGGTATCATACGTCGCCCAGCCGAAGCATGTCGCTCATCTAAAGCATAGTTTTGTGATTTCTGTAACTAATATAATTGAAGCTAAGCTGTCTTCTAAAAAAAAAAACAAGGTCATTGGGGCAAATGCTCCTTCTTTTCGACTTGCAAAGCTGAGCATTGCAAGCATCTGCTATTGAAAGCGCATTCGCCTACCTCTTTTGTGTGAGATTGGTTGCGATATTCTGCTTCTCCTCGATTCTGTGCGATCGGTAACCCCTATTCAATGCCATCAACTCTTCACCTAAGCCTGCCATCGTGGGGCCGCAAGGTGGACCTCTCTCCTCCCTCCATCCCGAACGGAAGGTGCCAATTTGGCACACTGCCTCCCCGGTTTGTGACGTCAACGGGGTGTGGACGATGACGTCACAGAAATGCACGTGAGAATTCAGCAGGCCTTCCTTTCAGGTCAACTGTGCTTGGAAATATTGTCATTCAAGTGTCATTCAGAGAATGTTGTATGAAACAGCTGACGTATGTTTACGAGCAATGTCATTTATATTCGACAGCAGCGTTGACAAGCATAACTACGTGATTGCACAGTTGTGCAATTCATATTCGTGACGTTCGTAATTTGATTGCCTTCTACCGTCATATGACGCTGCCACCACCCGGTGGCGTATTGTGACGGCTTCCGTCGCCGCCCCGTCACACGTCACACCCGTCGTGACGTCACCTTGTCACGTCATATGACAGCAGGCCGTTGATCACTTGACGAGACGGCCGGCGCCGCCGAAACGTCAGCGTTCACTCTATACGTCACCGCCGGGATTGGAGCCGCTCCTTGATGAAAGGGTCCGTCAGGCAGTGAAATGAGGCATTTAGGGCTGGCATGAAGGCCTAATTAGAGCCAGGAATGATACCGCTTGGATGCCCAGCCGGGCACGGCCGCCTGGGCCGGGGCGGTAGCAGGGAAAGGTCAGAGGTCACCTGCCCAGGAGGTCTGCAGGTGGTGGTCGGTGCGGCCGGGCTCCGAGGAGCACGTGTGGGCAGTACGTGGAGCCGCACACCGGAATAGCTGATAAAAGTCGCCGGTAACTGCACAGGGGAGTGCTGCCCGGGCGTACTGATGGCGCCGCTGCAGCCATGAAACCGGACTGTTTCGGGTTAGGCTGCTTCCAACGGGATGTGTTCATTAGGCTATATAGGGCCTTGGTTCAGTAGGTGAGTGTGCCGGCCTGGAGAGCGCCTGCCCCGTATGGTGGCGTGGAAAGCGTCCCAGGTGGTTATTCTTGGCGGTTTTGTGTCGGCCAAACATAACACATGCCAATGGTCGGGGTATATGACGCGCGCGGTCACCGGTCAGGGGGTGAGAGGGTGTGGTGGAGCGGGGAGGGAGTAGCCCACGGGACCGGAACATGTGGGTGGAGAGAGGGAGGGAGGCAGGGCTGGGCCGTGTGCGAAACAGATGGTGTTCAGAAATTCGTAGATGGGAAGGCATCGTACCAAGATACCGAGCTAACCCGCTGTTGTATCAAGCTACCGAGCTAACCTGCATGTATCATGATTCGTCGAGTGCGTGGTGGCCGGTGGGATTGTGCCTGTGGAATGGTTAGTTTCGCTAGATGTGTCATCCTTCTATGATTAGGAGCTTATTTTGGAGGTGTGTTGTGTGCGTAATGCAGGTCACACACCTCTTCCCAAAAGGATATTTGGTAATGTCACCTCCGGCTACCAGCCAAGTTTACCATACGTCTATCCCAGCCACTCGTCTGAGTCCAACTCCAGACACAACATTCTGTATTCACCCTCCCCTTATCGTGCTGCATCGCTTCCGCCTACCGTGTGGCCCGTGTTGCAAGGCTACGTTCTCGGAGCAGGATGTGGGGCAGCAAGGGATAATGCCATGATAACTCATTGGCTGATAATTCTCATTGCCGTGGACTCTCCCACCGAACCTCCAGCCAATCGTCCTTCATCCCGTGTCTCGATGTTTTGGTTCTCCATAGCGACCTGATCACCTCAAGGGCTTTCGGCCTGATGGCCTCCTTGATGCGGCCCATAGACATACCCATCCCTTGCCTCGCCATTCTAACCGGGCTACTATGCAAGATTATTTAGTGCATAGTGCACAAGCCATGTTCCGTTCTAGCCATGCCCTATTGTCTCCGGCGTTCTACCGACTGTCTCATCCCGTGCCGTGATCTACCGTGTCTTGTCCCGTGGCTCGTACTGTCTATTTTTCGTCCGTGCCGCCGAGTTATATCGTTCGTACCCCCACTTAGCGTCACACTGACCCACTCGTCCCATCCACAGGCTCCGCCTTCTATGTGGAGGTGCTGGCGATGCGAATCGGCGTGCCGGCTCCCAGCATGACGCCCGAGCAGCACGACCTCAAAATATCGCACTGGTTCTCAAATATTGTAAGTAGAAACAGGGGCGATGGGATGGAAAGGTCCGTTGGGTACTGGCTTGCATACGTCCTTCACGTTGGGTGCGTTCGGTAACGTTTGGTTTGGTAATGTGTAAGATAAGCGGCGTGGACTCTCCTACCAATCCCCCTCCCCTCCCCCTACCGCATGGCGGCTGCCCGCAATTTGACTTCCTAGTGGCGTCTGGCAACTTTGGGTACATCACCTATTTGGTGTGTCTGAAAAGCCCATCGATCGCAATAACTAATGATGAGGTATGCGATTTTCTTACCTTATCAAGTTTGATGTAAGCCAGTCATTTATCAAATGTGGAGCAGTTTTGTTATCTTCTTCGTTGTTCATGATTTGCAACAGCCTTCGTAACCACCATGATGTAACAACTCATATTACCCATCCCCGTGATAGTTTTACTGTCCGTATACCGTGATATCCTTTGTACTGTTCGGGTTGGGTTCAGTTCAGTTCAGTTCAGTTCAGTTCAGTTCAGTTCAGTATATTTTGTTAACCAAGAACAAAAAACATTGGAGAAAATAATCGCGGATCGGCGCAAAAGCAAAATGCTTAAATCAAAGCGCCTTTCCCACAAAACATAAACACAAATAAACGCACAAAAAAGGAAATATTAACACGAAAATTAAGTGCAAAATAAAACCACCTGGCCACAGGTCACGACGGCCCCGCCAGCAGCCCGCCGAGCAGCCCTCCGGACATAGTCACCAGGTGTCCGGGCCCCGGGCAGCAACAATCGGGTACGATTGTTGTTGGGTCGTTGGGAGCTCAGCTTAAATCCCTCATGGACTGTTGTCTGTTCATCTTACAGTGTCTTTTTGCCTTAATTCCCTGAGTGGCTAGCAAACGAGGAACGGAGAAACTCAATTCCCTTCCACGCCAGTAACGCTAGAACCGGACTCCAGAAATGGCTCGCCGGCTTTGGGAGCCCCAGCTCGTAAAATATTTGGCGGAACCTCGATTCCGCTGCCACAGACGGCAGCTTTTGTTGTTCCCAGCTCCTTTGAGCACGTGCATCAAGTGCTATGATATTCAGATTCACTTTCAAATGCACATTCAAAAAAACTCACCAAATGCAAAGTTTTGGCTACCATCGTGTAGCCAGGAAAGCCCTGATTCTGAAAATATATATCCCAATACATGACACTCAATAGTTTACGAGATATACCTGTTTTCCTTTTGAAGGTCATTCAAGGTCATATAGTGGCAGGTCATCAAAAAAACTCACAAATATACACCAAAATTACAGGATATATAGCCCAAAGCAGCCTCCATCGAATGGTGGTAGTCACTATTCATGACACTTCTGCGTTTTTGGTACAGGGGCCATTTTTATTTTCAAATGCCTATCTCGCTAATGTTAACACTGCCTGACTTAAAGGCCAATAACTCCCAAAGTACATCACCGTTCTCTTTCATCTTTTGGTGACACGTTTGCAAGGCCCTGGGGCAGTTTTTGGTTAAGTGCCTACCCATGACGCCTTCTCAAATCGTTTGTACGCGGGTTTGAAAATTTGATATTTTTGGTCATACGACCAAAGTCAACAAAAAAGAACTCACCAATATGCACAAAAATTACAGGATATATAGTACAAAGTGACCTCCATCGAATGGTGGTAGTCTCTATTCATGACACTTCTGCGTTTTTGGTACAGCGGCCACATTGATATTCAAATGCCTATCTCGCTAATGTTAACACTGCCTGACTTAAAGGCCAATAACTCCCAAAGCACATCACCGTTCTCTTTCATCTTTTGATGACACGTTTGCAAGGCCCTAAGGCAGTTTTTGGTAAAGTGCTCACCCATGACGCCTTCTCAAATCGTTTGTACGCGGGTTTGAAAATTTGATATTTTTGGTCATACGGCCAAAGTCAACAAAAAAGAACTCACCAATATGCACAAAAATTACGGCATATATAGTCCAAAGTGACCTCCATCGAATGGTGGTAGTCCCTATTCATGACACTTCTGCGTTTTTGGTACAGCGGCCACATTGATATTCAAATGCCTATCTCGCTAATGTTAACGCTGACTGACTTGGATGGGTATAACTCCAAAAGTACATCTTCGATCTTGTTAAACTTTTAGTGGCACGTTAGCAAGGCCCTGGGGCAGTTTTTGGTCAAGTGCCTACCCATGACGCCTTCTCAATACTTTTGTACGCGGGTTTCAAAATTTGATTTTTTTGGTGATACGGCCAAAGTCAACAAAAAAGAACTCACCAATATGCACAAAAATTACGGCATATATAGTCCAAAGTGACCTCCATCGAATGGTGGTAGTCGCTATTCATGACACTTCTGCGTTTTTGGTACAGCGGCCACATTGATATTCAAATGCCTATTTCGCTAATGTTAACGCTGACTGACTTGGATGGGTATAACTCCAAAAGCAAATCTCCGATCTTGTTAAACTTTTAGTGGCACGTTAGCAAGGCCCTGGGGATGTTTTTGGTCAAGTGTCTACCCATGATGCCTTCTCAAAACTTTTGTACGCGGGTTTGAAAATTTGATATCTTTGGTGATACGGCCAAAGTCAACAAAAAAGAACTCACCAATATGCATAAAAATTACGGCATATATAGTCCAAAGTGTCCTCCATCGAATGGTGGTAGTCGCTATTCATGACACCTCTGCGTTTTTGATACAGCGGCCACATTGATATTCAAATGCCTATCTCGCTAATGTTAACACTGACTGACTTGGATGGGTATAACTCCAAAAGTACATCTCCGATCTTGTTAAACTTTTAGTGGCACGTTAGCAAGGCCCTGGGTCAGTTTTTGGTCAAGTGCCTACCCATGACGCCTTCTCAAAACTTTTGTACGCGGGTTTGAAAATTTGATATCTTTGGTGATACGGCCAAAGTCAACAAAAAAGAACTCACCAATATGCACAAAAATTACAGGAAATATAGTCCAGAGTGACCTCCATCAAATGGTGGTAGTCTCTATTCATGACACTTCTGCGTTTTTGGTACAGCGGCCACATTGATATTCAAATGCCTATCTCGCTAATGTTAACGCTGACTGACTTGGATGGGTATAACTCCGAAAGAACATCTCCGATCTTGTTAAACTTTTAGTGGCACGTTAGCAAGGCCCTGGGGCAGTTTTTGGTCAAGTGCCTACCCATGACGCCTTCTCAAAACGTTTGTACGTAGCCAAAGTCAACAACAACAAAAAAAAACTCACCAATATGCACAAAATTACGGCGCATATAGTCCAAAGTGACCTCCGTCGAATGGTGGCAGTCCCTAATTATGACACTTCTGCATTTACGATGGGTTTCAAGGTCACCAGGAGGTCAGGTCAGGTCACTGACCTTTGATGACCTCGGTTCACTTTTTCGAGTTTTACACGATTCTAGGCCAGTTTTTGGAGCTGAATTCGAATTTTGCAACCATTTGAACATTTACGATGTAGCTGTGGTGCCTTCGTAGCATGTTAAGAAGCTGTCAGAGGCGTTTGCCACCTAGTTACGATTTCAGGCTAGTGGACTGTATGGTGAGATGAAATTGCAGCAATAAAGAACTGTGTTGGCTACGATATCGTCTCTCGTTTCGATTTTCATATTCAGCCTCCAATTGAAACGAATGCGAATGAGCTGACTGGCCGTTTATATATTTTTTTTCCAAAACATTTATTTCACACTGACATGAAACCTCCAAAAAGAGGCAAGGCACGCAACTCAGATCAAAGCAAAAAAGCAGCTAGTCCCCGTGCTCTTACAATCCCTCCTCTCCCACCCCTTCTGCGAAAAACGCACAGACAAACATCGCCGTCCGGCCCGATGCCATGCCACACTCAACATTTGCATGTTTGGAACCGTCCAGATCACATGGTCAGCGGCTGCAGCGGCTGCCCACACAGATGGTCAGCGGCTGCACACATAAGTGTCTTCGTAGTGTCTTAACTATCGGGATATGCTATTAAGTGTCAGCTGAACATAGATACCGATGCCGCCAACGACGCGCGCGGCGAAGCCGGCCCCAGGCGCTAAGACGGCAACGCGGCCGGCGCGACGTCAGCGTCGGCAACGGCGACGTTATCAAGACCTTAATATGGTCTCTTCAAATAGATACAGACCACCAGCCACCGACGCCACCCCAGGCGCCGACGGAGCTCGCTGCGTTACGGCCGTTTATATATGCGCAGTATTCATTTTAACAGCGATTGCAAATTACATACAATCATGAAAATAACCGCATGAGCCATTAATAAATTGTTAACACATCGGCGGGATGAGGATACCTGTGCAGGTTCAGAACACCTGTTCAGGGTGCAACAAGGCAAAGGAAACAAAGGAGATCAAGAGCGAGCCAGTGCCAGATACCGACTGACTCACTGGCAGGGGAGCGACCCCGACCTCGGCTCGGCGCAGTCACGTGACAACACACGTTTCAAGTACGCGGGCACCCGCACCGGCGGCCGCGCGGAGCGGCCTCAAACCGCGGCGTTGGTCTCGTTCAAATACTACTGCACACCGCTACACTGTACCGCCGCGCGACACTGCGACCACCGAACGGACAGTGGAAACTTAGAAAATTAAATGACACGAATCACAGTGAATAATAAATCCAACATGGCTCCCCACTCTTTCCATTTTCGAAAGTAAGTGTCTACAAGAAGCGAAGCCTGTTTTTGCAACTGACATCACACAATGCACAGTTTCAGCTCCCGCTGGAGCACGACCACAATCACTAGTGTCCGACGCTCCACAGGGAAGCGTACCATCATTGTCTCTTGAATCGCACGCGACGCTTTGCTGCTTGGCACGCAGCTCGCGACATCTTGCAGATCGCGATGAGCCGCAGCTCACGACGTCTTGAATAGTGGTGTCAATTTCGGAAAACGTATGTCCAAAGTCCGTCCAATGTCCAATGCCTACGTCGATTGTACGTCCAAAAATGTCCAAGCCAGCCATTTGTCCAAAGATGTCCGACACCTACGCAATAGTTTACACTCAACACTGTTATTTAATTTGCTTTTCATGTACCGTTACAAGCTCAAAAGTGTTAGTCATATCGAAAGCTGGACTTTCTAATAGCCAATCAATGTTAACCACGATTACTTTTTAAAAATGTTGAGGTGTAGCAAGCGATTGTCCAAAGTTGTCCAAAGCCTGCTGCCATTGTCCAACCGAATTCCGAATTGGACATAGGACAAAATCGGAATTCCGAAGATTCAAGTTCCGATTGACACCACTAGTCTTGAAGCTCGAAACGACGTCCCGTAGTCACAAAATGACCACCTCGTGCCTGCACGCGCTCGTAAGTGCAGGCGAGTCTGTGCAGAATGCGAACGCATGGGACCAGGGCGGCTCTCATTGCTGCAGCTGAAGAGCCAGCCGTCAGGGAAGCGAGACTCTTGGGCGTCGATCTCCTCTGGTGGGCCAAGCCAGACGGCGTGGGTCGTCTGCGGTGGTCCAGGTCCGGCCAGCGAGCGTCCCGACCAGCCTCCGTCGGTTCTCAGCCGATACCAGCTGATGTACCGTCACTGCCGTGCAGAAACGGAGTTGGTCATAAACGGAGGGCTTGTGCGCGCTGTACACGGAGCATGACACCAAGGAGACGGACCGTGATCTCGTCTTGACATCACACACGCACACGCATACAGGTAAGTGATAGGAGCACATGAATCGTGGACCTAGGACCTTAAAAATGAACCTAGGACCTTAAAATTGGATATCATCGGCTTCCTCTCGTTACGGGCAACACGCTCGTCTTTTCCGCAAACCTCTAGCTCGATCTAGGGCGATCAAGGAACAGTTGACGAAAGTATTTGACATTGGACGGACATTGGACAATGGACATACATTTTCTGAAATTGACACCACTAGTTCATAACATGAAAACATCGGCCGCAAAGCTCTTTCTGATGAGTACAGTAGGTAAGACGACTGTCTTTTATCACCCCAAGAAACATCACCTCTAACTTGACAGGGATGAGAGAGAGAAAGAGAGAGAGAGAGAGAGAGAGAGAGAGAGAGAGAGGAGAGAGAAAAGAGAGGAGAGAGAAAAGAGAGGAGAGAGAAAAGAGAGGGGAGAGAGAGAGAGAGAGAGAGAGAGAGAGAGAGAGAGAGAGAGAGAGAGAGAGAGAGAGAGTGAGAGTGAGAGAAGAGACAAGGGAGAAGAGAGAAGAGACAGGGGAGAAGAGAGAAGAGACAAGGGAGAAGAGAGAAGAGAGAAGAGAGAAGAGAGAAGAGAGAAGACAGAAGAGAGAGAGAGAGAGAGAGAGAGAGAGAGAGAGAGAGAGAGAGAGAGAGAGAGAGAGAGAGAGAGAGAGAGAGAGAGAGAGAGAGAGAGAGAGAGAGAGAGAGAGATGCTGATCCACATACCTTCAGCCAAGGTCCTTTCGGATAGATGCCATATACTCCTGCACACTTGTGCTGTGTATCTCTTTCACAACTCGTAGCACAGGTGGCTCTGTCTTCTGCAACGGACGTCCCTTGCCCCAACTCAGCCACACAAGTTCAGCTGCGTCCTTTGCCTGAAACAAGGACAACAAAGTTGTACAATCATACATGATCGAATATCGCTGTCGAAATTTGTCCTGACATAGTGGCGATAAGTTAAGTTCGTTTTCATTTCTTTCATTTTCGTTCATATTGCTAGATGGGGATATAATAAAGAGAGAAGAAAACCTTAGCTTGGAACACTTTTAAGTGCTACTAAATAAACATTCAGACAAAGCAAGACAATCACTACGGGTCATATTCAGAGGGACCACCTATCATGTATTCACGTTAAGTGACAAGCTACTGAGACAAACAAGTGAACGCCCTGATTTTGACGCATCCCGCGCACGGAGTTTAAACAAAGTCGTCTTTATCTAAAAAAAAATAAAGCAAACTTATTGCTTGTTTCTTTATTTGGGCTTTGCTTTAGGGCGCACCTACTACAAAGGTGATTTTGCACATCACACAAATGTATTGTTAGAAGTTAGTACACATTTGAGCTCAAACACAGAACTCACACCAGTGATTTTTTGACGAATCTCGTTGCGCATGGACGGGACATCCAGGGGAGCTGCTGTAGGGACGGCCGTCGCAGCAGCGCGCGCGTGCCAACACACATGTACGCCGCATGAGGAGCCATCCTCTTGCAGGGGCACATTGTCCGGGACGACCAGGTCCCATTCCGCCCAGTCGATCGGACTTGTGCCTGCCTCGGCACATTCAAGCAGCAGCTGCACCAGCCGCACAGCGTCCTCGGGGGGACTCAGCAGCATAGAGTCCAGGTGCAATATGCGCCTGACAGCTCGAAAAACAATGAACTGGGCCCAGTGCATGCCCGACCTATTGTAAGGCAGGATCCAGACTTCGGCCGTGGCCGCTCCACGCTTCTGCAGAGTGTCTCTGACATCATCAGTGGGCCAGTGCAGCGATTTCATAACTGGGAGCCAAAACACAGAAAAGCCGACGACTTTTCCACCGGTACCACTGGTCAAGACCGCCAAGTAGCAGTTTATCACTTCATCGTCTAGAAGGCCGTCCCCATCCAGAGTCTGGAGGCTCACTTGATGAATTTTGGGAGCCACTGAGACCAGCTTCCTCGCCGGGGCCGTGGCGGGCGGGACCAAGTTCCTCGGGCCGTGGCGGGCGGGACCAAGTTCCTCCGGGGCCGCGGCGGGCGGGACCAGCTTCCTCGCCGTGGCGGGCGGGACCAAGTTCCTCGACGAGGCCGCCGCGGGCGGGACCAGCTTCCTCGCCGGGGCCGCGGCGGGCGGGACCAGCTTCTTCGCCGGGGCCGTGGCGGGCGGGACCAAGTTCCTCGGGCCGTGGCGGGCGGGACCAAGTTCCTCCGGGGCCGCGGCGGGCGGGACCAGCTTCCTCGCCGTGGCGGGCGGGACCAAGTTCCTCGACGAGGCCGCCGCGGGCGGGACCAGCTTCCTCGCCGGGGCCGCGGCGGGCGGGACCAGCTTCCACGCCGGGGCCGCGGCAGGCGGGACCAGCTTCCTCGCCGGGGCCGCCGCGGGCGGGACCAGCTTCCTCACCGGGGCCGCTGCGGGCGGGACCAGCTTCCTCGCCGGGGCCGTGGCGGGCGGGACCAAGTTCCTCGGGCCGTGGCGGGCGGGACCAAGTTCCTCGCCGGGACCGCCGCGGGCGGGACCAGCTTCCTCGCCGGGGCCGCCGCGGGCGGAACCAGCTTCCTCGCCGGGGCCGTGGCGGGCGGGACCAAGTTCCTCGCCGGGGCCGTGGCGGGCGAGACCAAGTTCCTCCGGGGCCGCGGCGGGCGGGACCAGCTTCCTCGCCGTGGCGGGCGGGACCAAGTTCCTCGACGAGGCCGCCGCGGGCGGGACCAGCTTCCACGCCGGGGCCGCGGCAGGCGGGACCAGCTTCCTCGCCGGGGCCGCCGCGGGCGGGACCAGCTTCCTCACCGGGGCTGCGGCGGGCGGGACCAGCTTCCTCGCCGGGGCCGTGGCGGGCGGGGCCAACTTCCTCGGGCCGTGGCGGGCGGGACCAAGTTCCTCGCCGGGGCCGCGGCGGGCGGGACCAAGTTCCTCGCCGGGGCCGTGGCGGGCGGGACCAAGTTCCTCCGGGGCCGCGGCGGGCGGGATCAGCTTCCTCTCCGTGGCGGGCGGGACCAAGTTCCTCGACGAGGCCGCCGCGGGCGGGACCAGCTTCCTCGCCGGGGCCGCGGCGGGCGGGACCAGCCTCTTCGCCTGGGTCGTGGATTTCTCGAACACCTTGGTTTTGCTGCTTCTTTCTCCAACCTTGGCCTTTCCCATCACAATGCCGGGTGGAGGGTAGGTCCGCGAGTAGTACGTTGGTCGGCTTGCTTTGGGGTTCCGCCTGCACCAGACCTCCTCCTGGTTTACAGATTTCCAACCAGGACTCTCTTCCCGCTTCCTCTTTCCCCTTGAGATGGGCATCGGTGGTATCATATCAACTTTTTGGCGTGCGGCGTTGTCCTTTATAAGCAGGCGTACAAGGTCGCCGGGATGAAGCCGTGTCCTGTCTTTCAGGAGCTGTTTTTTAACTACACGTATATGGGCCTCCACTGCGGCGTTCGACGCTGTTTGTGTGGTGAGCACCTGACACCACAAGGGGGCGAGCGGCATGACCGTTCCCACCATGTACTCAGCCAGTGTTGGGCAGTAGTACGGACTCGTGATGTTTTTCTCCTCCTGAGCTTTGGCCTTCACGTCTTTCAGTAGGGACGAGAAATGACGACCGAACGGCGTGCCGTCTCGGAAAGTGCTGTTGATGCTTGGCATCTCAGTTTCCTTTTGCGATGTTTCCTCCTCCCCCGCTTCCTCCTCTGTCGGCAGGGAGATAGAGTGGCGTTGCTGCTTAGACAGCGCCAGCAGGCACAAATCCTCGAAGACACAGTCCAGTTTAGCCATCGTTGACGCCTGCTGCATTTTTGCGAAGAGCCACATAAATCCAGGCCGACATTCCTTCTTCACACCCTTGCCCTTGAGCACACCTGAAAATTGGTGCATGAGATGTGCACCACACAGGCTGATCATGGTAGCAGGCAGTGGTGCGTCACCGTGAGCAGCTTCCCAACAGACATCCAGATAATCCTTCAAGAACCGATGGCACAGTCCCTGTGCTACACCATGCAGAATCGCCCAGCTGAAGTCACAGACAACGCGAGGAGCAGCCATTTTCACGTTTGTGACCTCCTTGTAACTCCGACTAAGTGACGCCAGAAAGTGGGCGATTGTGGGAACAGTGTGCGACTCCGACAGCATATATGCCAGAGGAAAGCCACCAGTCGGTTCTGCTGCTATAAGCACGTACAAGTAAGGGCGTTTCCCGCCGACCTGACGTGTCACTGAGCCCGTAGCGTCGATGTGCAGCGTGGACTGAGTGCGGTGATACTTTCGGATGAAATGTTCGTTGTACAGATGGACGACCAACGGAACTTTACCTATGTGGTGGACAGCACCAGGTAGCTTGCTGCTGGAGGTATCCACTGCTGCTGATAGTTCCATAGTGGACGTGAGGTCTTCCGTAAGATCAACCTGGTAGCGTTCTTTGATGCGCCTCTCGTGTGCAGCTTGCCGTAGGACATTGTCAGGTGGCGCTCCTGTTGTGTTTCCGTCACGGAGCTGGTCCGTTGGTGCCTCGATGAGTAGCTCCTGGCGCACGAGGTAGGCACCATGCGTTTCAACGCGTTCGGCCACTGCTGCTCGGCGTGCGCCAGCGAGATTCCGGCTGGCATGAAACTCTTGGTGACCAGCACTTCGGGTGCCAAACTTCCTCACCACCAGCAGCGATGTGCCATCGGCTGGCGCGTGCTCGACCTCGATGCGATAACGATGGCAGTTTGGCATCTTGCACACCGCATCGCACCGAAAAAAACATGTTTTCTTCTTCCTTGACTTTTCAGTCCTTAGGTGCCGGTACTTAGCGATAAGAATACACTTCGGCTCGATTTGAGAGGCGTTAATCTTTTGAAAAAGGGCATCAGTCCATCCCCTTTTTAGCAGGTACGAGCCGTCCTCAGCTGCATGAAAAACTTTACTCGTTTCTTCCTTATTAAGATAAATGCTGTACTTCGGCGAATGGTCACCAGACTCACCAGGCGACTCTTCGGTGAATATCTTGTGATGAGATGACTTTGCCGTGTCGTCACCAGCACTCAGAGGCGCTTCGGCGTCGGCCGCTGCGGTGCCGTCACCAGCACTCAGAGGCGCGTCGGCATCGGCCGCTGCGGCGCCGTCGCCAGCATTAAGAGGCGCACCGGCGTCGGCCGCTGCGTGGTCTTCGCCAGCACTCAGAGGCGTGTCGGCGTCGGCCGCTGCGGCGTCTTCGCCAGCACTCAGAGGCGCTTCGGCGTCGACCGCTGCGGCGTCGTCACCAGCACTCAGAGGCGCGTCGGCGTCGGCCGCTGCGGCGCCGTTGCCAGCACTCAGAGGCGCTTCGGCGTCGGCCGCTGCGGCGTCGTCACCAGCACTCAGAGGCGCTGCGGCGTCGTCACCAGCACTCAGAGGCGCGTCGGCGTCGGCCGCTGCGGCGCCGTTGCCAGCATTAAGAGGCGCACCGGCGTCGGACGCTGCGAAGTAGTCACCAGCACTCAGAGGCGTGTCGGCGTCGTCACCAGCACTCAGAGGCGCGTCGGCATCGGCCGCTGCGGCGCCGTCGCCAGCACTCAGAGGCGTGTCGGCGTCGGCCGCTGCGGCGTCTTCGCCAGCACTCAGAGGCGTGTCGGCGTCGGCCGCTGCGGTGCCGTCACCAGCACTCAGAGGCGCCTCGGCGTCGGCCGCTGCGACGTGGTCGCCAGCATTCAGAAGCGTGTCGGCGTCGTCACCAGCACTCAGAGGCGCGTCGGCATCGGCCGCTGCGGCGCCGTCGCCAGCATTAAGAGGCGCGTCGGCATCGGCCGCTGCGGCGCCGTCGCCAGCATTAAGAGGCGCACCGGCGTCGGCCGCTGAGTGGTCTTCGCCAGCACTCAGAGGCGTGTCGGCGTCGGCCGCTGCGGCATAGTCGCCAGTACTCAGAAGTGTGTCGGCGCCGGCCGCTGCGGCGCCGGCCGCTGCGGCGCCGTCACCAGCATTCAGAGGCGCTGCGGTGCCGTCACCAGCACTCAGAGGCGCGTCGGCGTCGGCCGCTGCGGCGCCGTTGCCAGCATTAAGAGGCGCACCGGCGTCGGACGCTGCGGTGCCGTCACCAGCACTCAGAGGCGCGTCGGCGTCGGCCGCTGTGGCGTCGTCGCCAGCACTCAGAGGCGCCTCGGCGATCAGCATCGGTTGGGCAGTCGGAGAGGTATCCGATGGAGCAGGATGCAGCGATGAAAGGATCAGGTATACTTCACTGTAAAAGGAGCAGGATCCTATGACAGCGGAGTAGGTGTGTGCTTTGCTGAATAGTAATGGAAAACACAATTACTATGAATAACTGGGTGTGGATTCACTGCTGAATTGATTTGAAAACACTTGCCACTGCAACGGCTCCTCCTATTCTTCTTAAACTTAAACCGAAATCGTCGCGCTATGAGTTGCTTTGGGATGCATGACAAGCATTGGACTCTTTTTGCCTTCTATTTCAAAGTTGCAGCTTGTTGCCTTCTATTTCAAAGTTGCAGCTTGCTGCAGAAAATGTTTCTTTTCTTACGTGATCTTCATGACAATATCAAATTTGAAATCTCATAACAGCTTCAGTTTATCCTCTTAGTAGGTATTACTGCTGTATTTCAGTAATTCAGGACAAATCCCCCCCCATACCACTAAATATTGGCATTCCAACAACAGGTGATGGAAATTTTATAAATCTTGTTAACTTCTTCTTGTCGTTTAGAGGGAAAGCATCCGTCCTTTCTCGAAAGAGGATTTTTGATTCTGGGGTGTTGTATACATAATCTTTTATCTCCAGTTTCAATCTCTTGTGCAGGGTAGGTACTTCATAACCCTCGCCCGTATTGATGTTTTTCCAGCCGCGAACGTATTAAGGGGGGGGGGTCCGTTGGACCCCCCCCTTGCCGTTTCGCCCCTGATCGAGCTAGAGCTTCGCGGAAAAAAACGAGCGTGTTGCCCGTGACGAGAGGAAGCCGATGATACCTAATTTTAAGGTCCTAGGTCATTGGTTGACCTTGCAGGTCAGGTCAATGACCCAAAAGTCGGGAAAATCGGGACCTGTTAGAAGTTTAGAACGTCGTAAAAAGTGGCTGCTATGGGGTTTTTCGGGGCGCTGATCACGCATATCATGTTAGTTTTGATCACAGATGATGTCTTTATGCATTTATTCCAGGTCGGGTCAGGTCAGGTCAGGTCAACCAGTAGGGGTCCTGCCGGATATTCCTAGTAGGTGCCAACCGCCTCTGACAGCTTCGTAACATGTTACGAAGGCACCAAAACTACTTAGTAAATGTTCATATGGTTGCTAAATTCGAATTCAGCTCCAAAAACTGGCCTGGAAACATGTAAAACTCGAAAAAGTGAACCGAGGTCACCAAAGGTCAATGACCTGACCTGACCTTCAGGTGACCTTGACACCCACCCTAATGCATGGGGGCAACATCATATCACATGTTTGAACGCTTGAAACCACGAAAAGACTGCAAACGCGCGGCTAATGCGAGCCGACATACGCCGAATCGCGATTCCGGCCAAACATGGTCTCGAAAAGTAGGTCACAGGTCAAAGGTCATTGGGGTCAGGGTCATGAAATTTTCAGGGTAGGTGTAAAATTGATTAACGCGAGGGTACTGAAAGTTTCGTCGCGATCGGCCGCTTTTTACGCGAGTTATCCGCGAAAAACCATGGGGGGGGGGGTCCGTTCGACCCCCCCCCCCCCTATACGGGCGAGGGATAAAAAACGTTACACGCTAAAAAAGCTACCTATATCTCCTGACACAATCCCAGTATTGGAAACAAAACTTCACACAACACCCTGGAGACCATACACCACGACAACAGCCCGTCGTTTCCATCCTCAGGATACTGAAATCCTTTTCCCCCGCGCCGCAACCACCATTCCAGGCAGGACAGGCATCTTTATTTCATGCGGGCTGCTTCCTTGGAGCGGCTCACGAGAAAGCACACCCGTAGCCGGGCACAGCACTGGGGCTGGTCGGTCTGTCCTTTGGGACGGGCTAAGCCCTGGTAACTAACCAAGGTGCCTGCCCAGACCAATGTCTCCCCTAATTCCTATCATCCTTCCGGCAATGAAATGGACTCAATAGACCGAAACGGCCTTAGGCATAGCCCCCCCCCCCCAAAAAAAAAAATCACCAAATTCTTTAAAGAGACTATCCCACCGTACCATTAGTGTTGAGTTGAGATAGCCAAAGTGGGGTCCCTGGCTTGCACTACCGGTTTGGGCACGCACAACATCGAAAAATGCTTTAACTCGGAGATATTTAATTTCAAACTTGCAGTTTTCAGATTCTAAGGGGCTAATGCGTTTGAATGCCGCCTTAGAATATGTGACGTCGGCGCAAATAGGAAGGTGGGAGGGTCCCTTCAAGGTAGTTCCTACGATTGCATTATAAGTAAATGCGAGATAGACTGAAACGAACAGGAATTCCATAAAATATTTCACTAGGAGTGAGGCATCTGTATGGCTCTGACAAAGCGGATTTATTCCGCCGAGCCGTAGAGGCCTTGGGGGGGGGGGGGGGAGACCAGACCGTTTCAATGTGTTCAATTCAATCGGAGTTTGATGGACCCCAAATTGTCACGTGACCCAATAATTTTCAATGCATTTTAACGATAGTGGCTTCTGAAAACGGACAGTGGCCGACTGTTCGATGGTTTGGCACACTAACCAAGCAGAAAAACGCTGATAAATCAGTAAATGTAAAACTTAGCTTACAGATTCTCTTATCTCTTAACATTAAGCGTTTTGCCATCTCACCTCGCAAAATCGCCGTCACGTTTGAATCGAAGACGAAGCTTCGAAGCCCTTCTGTAGTGACGCTCCTTCTCAAGTACATTTCGAGGACTCATCATGTGTTTCAGGACAAACACCCAAAACTGTTGTTGATTCGGCGAAAACGTCGAGCTTGCTCGAATGATGCCCTGAAAAGTAATTCGTGATTAGCGAAAACGGAAAATACACATGGTCAACAATAAGTTACAATGGCATGGCAGAAATGGTAGACATGGTAGAAACAGCACCTTAAAACCTGCGCCATGCTGAAAGGGGAGGGTCACTATTGATCGAGCGCAGTCTTCCGTAGATTGACGGACATTTCTGAGAATCAACGGTCGGCCGTGGTCACGATTCTGCGACGCTTATATCTCAGCAACCGCTTGGCCGATTTACTTGCGGTAATTTTGCAGGAAAGCTTCCTTCCTTCTACCAAGTATTGGACGATTTTCTATGCGTGTGGTTGACCCATTATGCACGTGCCGCGTGCAAAACGAAGGCATATCAGTTTTGTAACTATTGGAATATCTCGGTACCACTGGGCCGATTGCGCTGAAAGTTGGCATGTAGGTAGGCACCCACTAGGCAATGCATATCCATGTGCCACAGTTGGGGTGCTGCTGCTCGTGCGCATGTGCAGGGGTCGATTCCAGATTTTGAGTACGGCTGTGCCGATTGCGTACAGCCGTACTCCTATCAGTGAAATAGCACTGGTAATTCTACACCATTTATGCACAAAACATTTTTCTGTATTTTCCCAAGACTGTCAGGCCTTGGGAAGGCCTGACAGCTCTTCCCGCGGTACCTTTTTGGAGGGTAGAAAATGGCAGAACATGACGTCACTCTGACGTCATTTGCGGCCCACCTATCATAGCCTTTGGAAAAAATTGGTCACAATGTGTAAAATTGATGCCCGGGAGGGTGCTGAAAGTTTGGCAACGATCGGCGCAGCGATTCTGGAGACATATCGAAAAGTCTGGAGCGGGAGGGGCAAAAAAGCCCCCCTCCCCCACCGCCAGGAAAGTCAGTAGGGCGCCGCTTCCAGATCTCGACAATGGCTGGGCCGATGGGGCTAAAAATTTGGCACATCGCTAGAGACCGGTAAGTAGGGTCCCGTGCACAATTGGAGGTATAGTATCCCTTGAAAGCATCGCGCCATGGCCCATGGGCTGCGGCGGCTCGGCGAACTATTCCATTCAGCCTGAGGACCCCAGCAGTGAGGTCATGGCCTGTATCATAAAAGTACGCTATAGATGAAAACAGGTGGAGGCCGGCCAAAGGTCATGCTCGTATCGCTTTTCGTTGACCCCGTCTCCCGCCCCAGGCGGATACCGGCGCCGCTTGGGTTCACCAGCCGGTCGTTCATTGGTCTGCCTTAGTGGACGCCAATCACTTACCCCGCGTTCGATGTCTCTCGGACGACGAAGATTCTACGTCGTCCGGCCAATCACGCTCCATAACCGCAGCAGAGCCCCCGCTGACCTTGAACGGGATTGGCCGGACGACGTAGAATCTTCGCCGTCCGAGAGACATCGAACGAGGGGTCAGTGTGCGCGACGCGTAAAATCACAACGAAGCAAAGTTCCGCGGTCCGCCATAACCCTGCTGTGAAGAGGCCTTCCGAACGACATAAAACGGGCCATGAGGGGGGAGGGGCAACCTGGCATCAAATAGGGCTTTTAAAAAAGAAGCAAGCTGAGGCCAGTTTTACCAACAGAAAAGTAGCCGCCTGCTGGAATTTTTTGACTAAACACCGCTTCACATACAGAGCGTAAGCGGTATAACCCTATCAGCTAACGACCCCATCGCGTTTACGCTCCATATGTGAAGCGGTCTTTAGTCAAAAAAATTCCGGCAGGCGGCTATTTTTCTGTTGGTAAAACTAGGCCCTGAACGGTGAATATCATTTTTTGGCGCCGTTCACTAAGCGGCTCATTCAAAATCTGAACTTCAAATGTATGACTAATATGCTAGAGAGCGAATTGACGAATTGGCTTGAGTGAAAATTTTTGTGATTTGAATCCGCTCGCGGGTGCATCTGCAACCACGGATGCATTCTGTTAGCGGGCGCAACTGATGATTTAGTTTTGTACTAGATGGCCATGTTTGCGCGATAACTGTATAGATTCGATAGATATTGTTAATGGGGGCATTTGTTTGGGTGTATGAGGTTATATTTTTATTTGTATGAGCTAGGTGAAGTTTGACATTTGGTTTTAATTGAACTGTATGGTATGCTGGTGCTGATTAACCGGGGTTGTTTGAGTCTTTCGGATGTTGGGCCCTTATGCACTCAAACTTAACATACACTACAATACCCTACCATACCCAGGATGGATGGATGGATACACGCGATAACTGTACGTTTCGATGGCTATTGTTCATGCATCGAACTAATGGGACCATTAGTTCGATGCATGAGGCTATATTTTTATTTGTATGAAAAAATATAACCTCAAAAAAAGAATTGGGGTTTCCGCTTCGCTCGCTCTGTAATAACCTGAGACGACCGCAAGAGTCTTTAATCAATCGCTGATAGTTTCAACGCGAGCCTTCACTTGGTATAGCTACTGCGAGCATTTGAAGTTTCCTGATGTTTCAGTATCTTTTTCAAGGTGGGAGGGTCCCTTTATTAAGGATGATATTTGCCTACACTTGGCAATCGCATTTACCTCTCTCATTTCCTCTGTGATCTGGACCTTGCTGGATTGCATTCTGTCCTCCTTGTAGGAGTCCTGAAAAGGACAAAGAAAAAGTATGCATTATAAATCATAACATGTCTGTGAGCATTCAAGCTAACTCCGTCATCCAGACTGCGAGAGCGGCGAGCAAACAAAACCTGGGACGGTATCACCCGCGTTCAGGGCTTTCAGCTCAGTGAAAGGGGGTCGCAGCGACAAGCGGTTACCACTTGTGGATAAAGGAGAAAAAGGGCCTAGCGTATTGATACAGGTAAGTGGCATAGTACACACCACGTGCAAAGCAAAAGCTCATTGTCAACAATGGCTAACCTGTGGATGTTCACTGGTGAAGTAAAAACCGATACTATTTGAAAACAGTGCGGAGCGGGGACGCCGTGGTGGCTCTCAGGGGCCAGGGCCGCAAATAATAATAATAATAATAAGATGACAAGTGGCTGGGAACAATCACAAAGTCCATTGACTGACGACCTAAACTGTACACCGTTCTGGAGTTTAGTCAGCGAAGGGGGAGGTCCGTACCGTTGGGGGCCCCCTTGCCGTTTTGCCCCTGGTCGAGCTAGTTAAACTTCGCGGAAAAACGAACGTGTTGCCCATGACGAGATGATACCCAATGAGGCGCTACAATTTTGGTGAATTTGTGGCAGCTCAGTGTGTTGGAAAATTACTTACGGTTCACTGACCAAAACTCACTCTCCCAGCCCATTTTGCTCCACAAATGCAATCAGCAGACACAAATATCAACCAACTCCTCTCCCATGCCTCACCTGTGGGACATGTGAGTGTGACACGTGTCCCTCCACGATATGCCCCACACCATGCTGCTGGTGTCTGGAGAGGCCCGCCTGCGCTACCGACTGATCCCTCTCCATGGCCAGAGGAGAGGTGGCATCCACAAAACAGCCCAAAGCTCTGCGCTGTGAGGTTGAGGGGCTGTACCTGAAAACAAAGAGAGAAGGTAGGGTCAGGGGGTAACACGGGGTAACACGTCTGCCAGTTTGTCTGCAAGTTTTTTTTTACAATGGATTGATGATTTTTTATGCTAAAAATGATCAGCAAAGAGAATATTTATTTGAAGAAAACAGTATTTTCTGTTTTAAAATAGCAAGAACTATATTCTATATAAAATATTAATTGAAGCAGAAGCTTTATATGCGGTGACCAATCATATTGCCTAGTACAAACCCCCTTGACTATAAGCAGCATGCTGATTGTCTGACAATGACGCAGCTGCATTCCTCAGCAAGGCACTTATTCCCCATCAAGCCACTCTTTTCTGAACAAGAAAAAGAATATCTTTGTTTTGTGTGATCGTTGGGCCATAAAAGCTTCTCATTTGCGCTAGTCTCAGCTTAAGCTACAAAACTGCAATTCCAGTTCAAAACCCAATGTTAGAAATAAACTATTTCCTTTAAGTCAATTGAAAATGTTCTCCTGGGGTCAAGGTCAGGTGAAGGCCACTAACATCGCACTAATGCTTGGGCTTCGCCTATTTCACAGGTGGTTATTGTCGATACAAAGCATTGCAAGCTGAGCCGTGTTCTGGTCAGCGCAAAATATTTTGCAGAGTGTGAAGGCACATATGCAATGATGTCAGCCGCCTGGCTCCGCCCATGCTCTGACCCCTCTCCGCCGGCCCGCAACGCTGAGGGCCATTCGACGCGCAGTGAACCTTGGCGGGGATGGACTGGTGGTATTCGTTCAATAACTAAGTAAAATGCATTCAAAAATCAAATGTGGTTAACAGCAATGTGGGTCGCTTGGCACCCGAGACCACAACTACGCATGGGTATTGGGTGGTGCAAAATTTTACAATAAGATGCGCTGCCCGAACATGGCCCTGGTTATCATAGGGTTGACAAAATTTGGGCTGTTTCAGACGATAACATTGGAATATTGAAGCTTAACCATGAATGCTCACACTTTTAGGGGGGAGTCAGATGGCCAACCATGGTTTTTTTCAAAATAACTTGGGTAACATGCAGCTGATCGCAACAAATTTTTTCAATACCTCGCCTCAAGGGAATCAATTTTTAACATACTCTGAATATTTCATGACCTTGAACAAAGTGATCTTTGACCTGTGAATTATTTCTCGAGACCATGTTTGGCCTGAATCAAGATTCGGCCAAACTTTAAGTATCAGTAAAATTCATTTTACTCACACACCTGCGGTCTGATCTATGTAAAAGCCAGTAACACTATATTGAGGAATATTAGGTAAAACCAAGATTCTTACAGATACAGTGTAAAACCAGTGTTAAAGGGACCCTCCCACCTTAACATTAGATTTGAGTTGAGATAGCCAAAATGGGGTCCCTGGCTCACAATTACCGGTTTCGGCACTCACAACATCGAGAAATGCCTTAAATCGGAAATATTGAATTTCAAAATTGCAGCATTTTGATTCAGAGGGGCTAATGCTTAGGAATACCCCTCTGAATGTGTGACGTCAGCGCAGATATCTAACGATTTTTAAATGTTTGACTAAAACGTTTTGTAGCACGCGGTAGTATATGCTATTTGCGCGCAATATCTGCCGCAAACGCCGCACTTCTAAAATAAAGTCGCTAGAAACAGCGGAGATCCCCAAAAAAGTAAACAAAAGTAAAAGTCTAATATCTTGAAAACCGGTGAATATTTTTCGGTGAAATTTGGTAGATATTCGTTTTCGCTCTTTCTGAACCGAGCGACATCACTTTCATGCCAATTCATAAACTTTTTTGAAGGTGGGAGGGTCCCTTTAACCCACGCGGTTCGACCCAAGATTCTTACCGGGTTGACCCTTGTACAAACCGGTAGGTACAAAATACGTACCTTGATATACTCTGGATATACCCTGCCTTGACCTATTAGAGTTATACACGGCCTTTTTGGGAGGTACAAACTCGGCACACAAACAACGCCAATTTTTTACACGCGCAGAGACAATCGCGCAGTATGGCGCAAAGCAGGTGCGCCATTTATGTAGCATTTTATTATAAATTTATTAAAACCCATTAGAAATCACGTACAAAAACAAAGAATGTCAAAACGGTCAAAACATGGTAATTTTAAACCCTTCTATGAACTAAAGGAAAATATTATCAAAAGCTTCTTTACCAAATATTACCCGGATGAAGCGTCCTAACTAACATGTATATTTGTGCGATTTAATTTGTTGACATTGACCGTTCAGCACTGCAAAAAAATGTCGAGTTTTCAATCAAGCGTACAAAAGTTTTGAGAAGGCGTCATGGGTAGGCACTTGACCAAAAACTGCCCCAGGGCCTTGCTAACGTGCCACTAAAAGTTTGACAAGATCGAAGATGTACTTTTGGAGTTATACCCATCCAAGTCAGTCAGCGTTAACATTGGCGAGATAGGCATTTGAATATCAATGTGGCCGCTGTACCAAAAACGCAGAAGTGTCATGAATAGCGACTACCACCATTCGATGGAGGTCACTTTGGACTATATATGCCGTAATTTTTGTGCATATTGGTGAGTTCTTTTTTGTTGACTTTGGCCGTATCACCAAAAAAAATCAAAATTTCAAACCCGCGTACAAAAGTATTGAGAAGGCGTCATGGGTAGGCACTTGACCAAAAACTGCTCTAGGGTCTTGCTAACGTGCCACTAAAAGTTTAACAAGATCGGAGTTGTACTTTTGTAGTTATACCGATCCAAGTCAGTCAGCGTTAACATAAGCGAGATAGGCATTTGAATATCAATGTGGCCGCTGTACCAAAAACGCAGAAGTGTCATGAATAGGGACTACCACCATTCGACGGAGGTCACTTTGGACTATATATGCCGTAATTTTTGTGCATATTGGTGAGTTCTTTTTTGTTGACTTTGGCCGTATCACAAAAAAAAATCAAACCCGCGTACAAAACTTTTGAGAAGGCGTCATGGGTAGGCACTAGACCAAAAGCTGCCCCAAGGCCTTGCTAACGTGCCACTAAAAGTTTAACAACATCGGAGATGTACTTTTGGAGTTATACCCATCCAAGTCAGTCAGTGTTAACATAAGCGAGATAGGCATTTGAATATCAATGTGGCCGCTGTACCAAAAACGCAAAAGTGTCATGAATAGAGACTACCACCATTCGATGGAGGTTACTTTGGACTATATATCCTATAATTTTTGTGCATATTGGTGAGTTCTTTTTTGTTGACTTTGGTCGTATGACCAAAAATATCAAATTTTCAAACCCGCGTACAAACGATTTGAGAAGGCGTCATGGGTAGGCACTTGACCAAAAACTGCCCCAAGACCTTGCTAACGTGCCACTAAAAGTTTAACAACATCGGAGATGTACTTTTGGAGTTATACCCATCCAAGTCAGTCAGTGTTAACATAAGCGAGATAGGCATTTGAATATCAATGTGGCCGCTGTACCAAAAACGCAGAAGTGTCATGAATAGAGACGACCACCATTCGATGGAGGTCACTTTGGACTATATATCCTGTAATTTTTGTGCATATTGGTGAGTTCTTTTTTGTTGACTTTGGCCGTATGACCAAAAATATCCAATTTTTAAACCCGCGTACAAATGATTTGGGAAGGCGTCATGGGTAGGCACTTTACCAAAAACTGCCTTAGGGCCTTGCAAACGTGTCATCAAAAGATGAAAGAGAACGGTGATGTGCTTTGGGAGTTATTGGCCTTTAAGTCAGGCAGTGTTAACATTAGCGAGATAGGCATTTGAATATCAATGTGGCCGCTGTACCAAAAACGCAGAAGTGTCATGAATAGAGACTACCACCATTCGATGGAGGTCACTTTGGACTATATATTCTGTAATTTTTGTGCATATTGGTGAGTTCTTTTTTGTTGACTTTGGCCGTATGACCAAAAATATCCAATTTTTAAACCCGCGTACAAATGATTTGGGAAGGCGTCATGGGTAGGCACTTGACCAAAAACTGCTTCAGGGCCTTGCTAACGTGCCACTAAAAGTTTAACAAGATCGAAGATGTACTTTTGGAGTTATACCCATCCAAGTCAGTCAGCGTTAACATTAGCGAGATAGGCATTTGAATATCAATGTGGCCGCTGTACCAAAAACGCAGAAGTGTCATGAATAGGGACTACCACCATTCGATGGAGGTCACTTTGGACTATATATGCCGTAATTTTTGTGCATATTGGTGAGTTCTTTTTTGTTGACTTTGGCCGTATGACCAAAAATATCAAATTTTCAAACCCGCGTACAAACGATTTGAGAAGGCGTGATGGGTAGGCACTTGACCAAAAACTGCCTTAGGGCCTTGCAAACGTGTCATCAAAAGATGAAAGAGAACGGTGATGTGCTTTAGGAGTTATTGGCCTTTAAGTCAGGCAGTGTTAACATTAGCGAGATAGGCATTTGAATATCAATGTGGCCGCTGTACCAAAAACGCAGAAGTGTCATGAATAGAGACTACCACCATTCGATGGAGGTCACTTTGGACTATATATCCTGTAATTTTTGTGCATATTGGTGAGTTCTTTTTTGTTGACTTTGGTCGTATGACCAAAAATATCAAATTTTCAAACCCGCGTACAAACGATTTGAGAAGGCGTCATGGGTAGGCACTTAACCAAAAACTGCCCCAGGGCCTTGCAAACGTGTCACCAAAAGATGAAAGAGAACAGTGATGTACTTTGGGAGTTATTGGCCTTTAAGTCAGGCAGTGTTAACATTAGCGAGATAGGCATTTGAAAATAAAAATGGCCCCTGTACCAAAAACGCAGAAGTGTCATAAATAGTGACTACCACCATTCGATGGAGGCTGCTTTGGGCTATATATCCTGTAATTTTGGTGTATATTTGTGAGTTTTTTTGATGACCTGCCACTATATGACCTTGAATGACCTTCAAAAGGAAAACAGGTATATCTCGTAAACTATTGAGTGTCATGTATTGGGATATATATTTTCAGAATTAGGGCTTTCCTGGCTACACGATGGTAGCCAAAACTTTGCATTTGGTGAGTTTTTTTGAATGTGCATTTGAAAGTGAATCTGAATATCATAGCACTTGATGCACGTCCTTTGAGCCACGGACAAACCACACGGGAGGCTTAGTTTTGCGATATTGTGTGTCCTCCCCTGGGCCCAATCTTATAAACGCCGTGAAATGGATATGGCAGCACTCTGAGGCTGGATATATATAGTTCGTTTTTTTTAAGTTTGCCCCTCACTGTAAACGTCTCTTTGAACACAGCACGAGAATTGCTAGCTGAATTACTGAGAAAACTGGCTAGCGCACATTGTATTGTAGATATGAATAATATTTTCAAAAATAAGTTTTGAACACCGACGATTTAGCGCCGTGCAATTTATTTATTAGTTCAGATATAATTCCTGAGAAGTCGTCTATCCCTGTGGGGCTGTAGGTATTGGCAAATACGAGCTACGAGTCTGTGAAATAGTCAATAAATTTGATGAAATTGATCGTCTGTGAAATCTGGTCAAATCAATGTGCGCCAACCAGTTTTCTCAGTAATTCAGCTAGCAATTCTCGTGCTATGTTCAAAAAGACGTTTACAGTGAAGGGCAAACTTAAGAAAAACGAACTATAGTACGCAATCTTATAAAACTCTGTAAAATCGAAAACACGGCACGCTCCCTACAGCATTGGTAGCCGCCGGTTTTGAGGATGCCCTAGCATGCTTTTAACCGTGAGCAGCTGTGCACATCTCAAAACACCGACAATCATCAGCTGTTTGCGGTTTCAGCGGCGTCCATTTCACGCCAGAATTTGTGGCGTACTTTGACGAGCTTCTCAGACAGTTTAATTCATTTAAGATAAATTCAATGTTTTTATGATATAAGTATGCAATATTTTACGTTATGATATTTTTAAGATTAAAACATCCTTCACATATTAACTCATGGTTTATTATAATGATGCTTATTATACAGACAACGATCAATTTCAAAATATGCATTTTCAGGAACTAAATGCACACTAAAACACATAAAAACGAGTGTTCATCGTTATATGGATTTATTTTTCAAATTAAAAGGGGATTTTTAATAGGATTTTAGCGCCAGTAACCATCATAGATTTTCGGCAGCCACATGCATTATAGAATCGGTATGGGTCTTTAGCCTATTCTCACGTCTCACGTATGACACAAATAACGGGCACTTCATGGCTTCTGATTAGATATTTAAATTAATGATGATATACCTTAGTTTGTCAAAAAAAAAAGTTAATTCCTACTCACTATTCGTATCTCCTCACTTCCTGTCTGGCACAGTTACGGATCAATGTGTTGTTTCTCTTCCTGCATCTCGATCTGACTTCTGAGCCGAGTATTTTTCTTGATATGCTTTGACATGTAGACTGGGTTCTTCAATCTTTTGAGGAATTGCTTTTTAGCTTTAGGTTAGGTAACAGGTACCTATGCTTGAATAAGAAGGAAAATAAGCTGTAACTTGACCTAATTCAGTTCATGTACGTAGTCTTCGAATTTTAGTAGTTTATCTTCAAGAAGGAAAATGTCAAGAGCTTATGACAAGAAGGAAAATAAGCTATATCTTGAATTGATCCAGTTAATGTACGTATCCTGATGCTCAAATTGTAGGAGCTTCATTGTCAACGGCATTACTTAAATTACTGAAACAGCTGCCGAGCTATAATTAAATGACTATTTAAATAATTCTTTAACAAATTTATTGCAATGCCTTAACAGCAAATAAATGCAAATGATAAGTAGAAGAAACACTTTATTCACTCGAATTTCTGAGCGCGAGAATGCCCTCGCTGAAATTTATTTGGTCGGCAATCCACTTTTCAGGAGAATTCTTCAAGCATGTTGGTGTTTTCCATAGTTTGCTATCACGTTTTCCATAAATAACTTATTCATTACACATATGTGTGTCTCTAAAAGAAATAAATGCCCCATAAGAATTAAAACACATAACTTTTGCTGTTCGCAAACGGTACGCATAATTTCCAATAGCGACGGCGACAAGACATTGACCAATCACGTTGCGTGTTTCCTGCTGGCGTTGATTTGTACTGTGGGCAAAATGGCGTGAATAGAATTACCATACTATTCTCTTTATAAGATTGCGTGAATAGGGTGCCGTAAATAGAGTGGGGTGGAATGATAGTACGCCATTTGGTAGCACAACCTTTATAAGATTGGGCCCTGGTCTGATTTTTCGCTTGGGTTGAGTATACGTGTAGTGTATAAACATGCGTGTATAAAATAATCATGCGATGGGCCAGCCCAAAGGTGATGTTTGAAGGCTGAGTTATGTTGTCTGCTCTCATTTCCTATCTCCGCTGTATCTCATCTCACTTATTATCTGCTGTTTGGCAGGGCCGCGCGTTCGGCGTGGCGCTGGGCTGCATCCTGGGCATGTTCCCGCTGTTCTTCCTGCCGGGCCACAACCGGACCGACGAGGAGGAGGAGGGCGACGCCGCCACCTCCGACGGCGTCACCGTGCTGCCCGCCGTCAAGGCAGAGGCGCCCGACGCAACGACAGCGACGGCCTCCAAAACTGCCCCCACCTCTGCGGCGGCGGCCGAGCAGGCGACTGTGAAGGCTGCTGCGGCAACCGGCACTGACGGTCCTACCTCTGTGAATGCAGCCGAGTCGACAAACCGAACGGCACACGTCGCATCGGGGTCACGATCGACAGAACGTCCAGCGCCGCCGGCCGCCGCGACGGCAGCGCCCTCGAGCGGCGCCGGCTGCCAACAGCCGCCCGGCGGTGACGCGCCTAAGTAGACCCAATGTAGCCAGACAGGGGAAGATGGTGCTAGACGCACGGTCACTGCTCGGTCGCTAGTGTTTACGGGTGCGCTCGAGTGCCGCAGAGACAGCGGCGCGACTCCTGAGAGGACTTGGTGCCCGAGCCGCCGGGCCGTGCCCTGAATGGCGACCCAATCATGTGAGCGCGCGCGCTGATGCGTTCGCTAACCGGCCGGCCGTTATAGAGCGCGTTATTTGTGATTGGATGGTTTACAGGAGGGTGGCTCTCGCGTGGGTGGACCGGTCGATTGTGTGAGGACGACTGATTTTCAGCAGCGTCGGAAATGTTATCCTAGAATTTTGGTTTACGAAATCAAAATAGCCGAGAGATAGGCCATTTGCTGGAGCGTAGGATAAATTTCGCCTCGTTGTTGGTTCTTCACTCATCGTCAGTTTGTTGGTTGCTTGTTATGGAAACAATCTGGACAATATCTCAATTACGGGTTCGATTCGTCGGAAACTAGACTGTTTTTACGGCACCGTTGCAAAGCTTCGCCATAATCTCACGAGGGATCGATATGGATGTAAGTGTTATGAATCACGTATTTCATTCGAAGTATTCGTTGCGAACTATCGAATCATTTGATTGTCGACCTAACGTATCGATGTTAACCTCCGCTCGAATCGACTTCCCAGGGGTGGAATCGAACCCCGGTCCTACGCTCGGAGCACCGTGCACTGCGCGGCGGGACGCCCGACCGAGACTTCAGCAGGGAGTGCGACGCGTCCGACTCGATATACCTATATATGTGTAGTCGTGTTGATCCTTATGTGTCCGTTGCCCATGCTACTCGAGGAGGTGCGTTTATGTCGGTAGGTCGAGGGCGGGCGGGGACGCTCGCGCGGCGCGCGGGTCGCCACCAGACGCCAAGACGTGGCAACACGTGCAATAGGGCCGCTGGGCGGCCTTGGGCGGTAGGAACCAGACACTCTGATGCCGGTACGAGCATTCCAGTGCGCGGCGGTCCTCTGCGGTCGCTGAGCTCTGTAGATGCGGCGGAGCCCCGCGCTACATTGCTCGTGTTTTGCGGCCGGTCTTCAGCCATGCTGTGACGGCTCCCGAGCGACAATGAGGATGTCTGGCTGGCCCGTGGTGCAGAAATGTTGTAAATATACAATTTTCGGTGATGAATCCTTGTACATTATGCTGAGCGTATTGATGTTGCAAGAAGTGGTGGGAGACTTCGCTACCTCACATAGGCCTTGAAAGATTACACCGGCAACCTTCAATTCGATATATTGAGTAATCAATGTTTCATAGATCACATGTTGGGTACCCCCACTGTATAGCCTACCATAATATCCACGCGACAAAAGTTGACCAGCATAATGACTTAGCACGATATACATACTGAATGTTATTCAGTAAGCCTCGCAAGCTCAGCTTTGCACCATGAACGCGGCAGTTCGCCGTAAGCGCAACATAAAAATCAGCCTCCCCGGAATCTCAGCCCGACCCTGGGAGTTTCATGCAAGGTGATACGATACAGTCAACACATCGGTGGGAACGACAAGCGCATGAACACAAAGTCAACAGCCATACAATGACTCGAACTTGAAGCCCTTTGGTAAACAGTATGTCATGGTATCTCGCAGTACACTAGCCTCAACATGACTGGTTTGCGGGGGCTCCTCGCGTAGAAGCGTCCCGCAATCTCCACCATTTTAGCCTCTTGCCAGACACGAATGCGTCCAGCTCATGCAGCGCCAATTGTCAAATCTCCCACTCACGCACCATTTAACTGCTGCCGACCTGCGCCACCAGCTGTCGCAGCTGCTTCAGCACAGTGTCCTGCAGCTTCTTCTTATCGCGCTCGGCGCGTTTCAGCACAGAGAACATGTTTCTCTTGTCGGCGTCCCTCAGACGTTCCACCACCTTCACCGCTGTGGCTGGGGTAACCCGGCCGTAGCGGCTGGTGGGGGTCCCGTACTCGGCGAAATAGGTGGCCCAGTCCCACTCGAGGACCAAGTCCAGGAGCTGGCGGAGGTCGGCGAAGCACATCAGCAGCGCGCCCTCCTCGAACCCGGCCACCGGCTCAGAGGCGGCAAACTCTGCAGAAAGAGGGACAGGTCAGGGCAGGTAGAATCAGAGCGTCTAATCAGAAATCAGGAAGAGGGGTCATTTCTCATTAGTTTGCTGGCTTCCGACAAGTCTGCCTGACTGTCGGCATCAGGCCAATCCCTACTGTGCAACATCTTTTGCGATAATGAGCAGAGTTGGTGATTGGCTGAAGAAAAAGAGCGCGTGAATTGATAACTCGACTGCATACCGATTTCGGTGAGTGAGGAACAAAAACGTCGAAACGGCAATCCAAGGCGACTCTGGCATCTATCATAGATGTCGCCACTGCACGGTGCGCTCCGAGCAGCAGCGACTGCCACATCGGAGCCTATACTGACGAGCTATAACCGAGCCATGGCCAGAGTCCCACACTCTTTTTTTACCTTTTCGAGCACCCGATGTCTCCCAAACTCCTCCCTTATGCCCCGTCCTCCCCATCCCATTGACATCGCGTACTCACGTTCACACTGTATCACATCCAGATTGAGCTGCTGTAGGGCGCCGGTGGACAGTTGTCGCGCCTCCTCTCCCAACAGCATCTGACGCAGCTGGCGCGCCACGTGCTGGCACGCGCTCATACAGGCCGTCTGCGCCACGTGCGCCGGCAGGTTGGTGAACGCGCCGAAGGTGGCCTCCAAGAAGGAGATGAGGTCGACCAGGAAGGGGGAGGCGGTGCCGGACGGTTCTGGCAGCAGCCAGTCGTAGGCGGCCAGCTCCAGAAACTCGTCTATCTTGGCCTGCAGCTGCCGGTAGATCTGCTGCTCGGTCTCGGCGCGGATGTCCTTGAACATGACGCGGCCGAGCAGAGTGGACTGCACGCCGCCGTCCTGCTTTGGGTTGTAGCTGCGGGAGGGAGGGAGAAGGGGTTAGAGGACACAGACAAGTGTAAGCCTGGTGGCAAGCGACCGATGAAATGTCATTGTCACAGACCCTCATCAAATCATAGAAGACCAAACCAAGGCCATATATAGTGACCAAACCATATAACTTGGTTATAAGCGCCAAAGACTGACCACAAAACGTAAGACATGGAAATGTTACCTATTATCCTAAACAACACATTCTCTAGAAAACGACTGAGAATGCGTTTCCGAGGATGACGCATTTTATAAACCAAAAGTTACAATTATTAAATGACCCTCCTGCAACTACGAGCCGCTCACTGACCCGGTGATTTTAGTGATGACGTCCTCCAGGTAGACGCTGGCCTGCTCCAGGTGGATGGTGTTGATGGTGATCTGAATCAGTTGCAGCAGGCCCAGCCCGGGGATCCGGATCAGCGTCGCCAGACATCCAGAGAGCGTCCTCGTCAGCAGCACGTTAGTCGACTGGCGCAGCAGGTCATCCCGCTCACCCTGACTGAGATCCAGGTCTTCGGCGAAGCGAAGACACGAGTGGATGAACTCCTTCACCTGAGAAAACACCTTCGGCACCATCAACGAGAACGGGAACGTCTTGGGGAACGGCTGTCGCGCCAGCTCGGCGTCAGTGTACGGAAACACACGTGTGATCTGCTCGTACTCCTGCGGCGAGTCGACCTCGATCGGGTGGTAGTTGTCCTGGTCGAAGATCTCCCGGAAGACGCCCACCCAGCGCTGCATCAGCACCTCGCTGTAGTGGTCGCGCACTTCCAGCAGCAGACCGTGCAGAGGTTTGACGTTGAAGCCGTAGTTGCGAAGAGTATGACTGAACACCATGATGAGTCGTTTGAAGGTGAGCAGGAGGTTCGGGTCGGTGCAGCAGGCGGCGTGCGTCTGCAGTGCGCCCGTCAGCTCTCTCAGAGCCTCGTCCCACAGCTGGTCCAGCGAGACGCGCGTCACCAGGCCCGTGGCAGTGTTCAGGACATGATCCTCGATCACGAAGAACCCAGCCACACCATGTAGGTAGTCCTGTACGGCGACGAGCGAGTCCTGCGCCAGACCTCCGGAGGGCGCCTGGAGCGCCAGACTGCACTGCTTCTGACGCTGCTTGCGGTAGTACTCCTCGAACGCATCTCGTGCACCGAGCGCGGTGAAGATATGCAGACACCGGTAAACGGCCGAGAAGTTGACCAAGTCCTGTGCGGCGCCCTCCTCGTCGCTCGCCTCGCCGTCGCCGTCCTCTCCGTACAGCGCGATCGGTGAAATAGCCGTCACGCCTAGGAAGGCGAGCGTGTGCCGCTTCTGGAGGCGCGCAGGAGGAGGTCGCTCGACGAAAAACTGCTCGGCCGCGTGGCGCATGGCGGCCTCGCCGACCCGCGGCGACTCGCACCGAACCTCCTCCAGAAAGTCCTTGACGTCTGACATGGCCGCCGCGCGGATGTTGTCACGCATCTTAGGGATGCTCTCGCAGATGGCCTGCGCGAAGCGGTGGTCCGCCACGCGCGGCAGGTACAGCACCTCCAGCTGCTCGAGCGTCTTCAGCGCCGGGTAGAAGCGCTGTTCCGCCATCTGACGCCGCAGTTTCGAGTACATCTCCAGTACGGGCAGGCAGGCCATGAGTGCCGCCACACCTTGTTCGGTGTTCGCCTGACGTCGTCGAGCGCGCGCCAGGGCATCGCCCTGCGACAGCAGCTGTCGAGACTGAGTCACCAGCTCGTCGTGCACACCGACCACCTCGTTCTTCAGCTTGCTCGCCTCTGTGCGCACCTGCAGCAGCTCGCGGATCGAGTCGATGAAGCCCTGGTAGTGGGAGCTGCACATGCGCTCGATGGTGCGGTCGTGCTCGCGGATACGCTCGTCCAGCTGACGGGCGAACTGGTCCTGTTCACCCTTGTCGTACACGGCGCGGAACGTCGAGCCCCAGAAGTCGTCCATGCTCTCGATCTCCTGGATGAAGATGTCGTGACGCGACTTGATGGCGTCCTTCGAGTCTCGCTTGGTGGGCAGTGTGAGGTCTTTTGAGTCACGCTTTGGGGCGACCGAGAGGTCTTTTGGTTCACGTTTTGGTGTGGACACATTCTTGGTAGGGTCCTTTATATCAGACTTTGGGGTAGCTGACTCGGACATGCTGAGTGTCTTGAAGTGGTTTGAGTATTTAAAATATGAAATATAATTAAAGAGCTACCACTTAAATTCATCTACACCAAGTTTGAGCATGCTCTCAGCTCAGTAGTGGTGTAGGTCCTTGAAGCTTTCATTGGTGGTGAAAGCTGACACTGAAAGAAAAATGTGGCATATTGATCAACAGTTTTATCTCTTTCAGAATAACATGGGGGACTGCTTGGAAATGATCTTTAACATCCTTATCCATGTTGGTATGCAACATGCTTCCTATATGCAAGCCAAAATAAGTAAATCAATGTTACACATGAGTGTAACAATTACCTAGATGAGAGAAAGACAATTCTAAATTTTTAGACATAGGTACCTACACAGCTCCTTAACCCTCGCCGGCCGAGGGGGGGGGGCGGGTGCCGCCCCCTCCCATAGGGTTTTTTCGCGATAGCTCCGAACACGCTGGCGATAGAGAGCTCAAACTTGGCATACCTGACCTTTGATCCAAGCCGCATCTTTTGACACCAACCGCATTTTTGGGTCAGGTCAGGTCACTGACCTATGACGTCATAAGTGAACCTCTGCACGGTCTTCAGATGTCGCAACTTCGCAACGCCCTCACTGCCAGAGGAGATGTCACAGGGAAATGAAACTTGCAGGATCTAGTATCCATTATGAGTCTCACAACTTGTATATCTCGGATTTTTCCTAAAGGTCATATGAGGTCAGGTCATTTTCGTGACCTCACCATTATAAGTCAATGGGGAAAAATGAAAACTGCTATTCTGGCGCCGGGAACGATCTCCAACTATCTCAAGCACACAGAATCGTGATTTGATGCACTCCTTGCAAGGTTAGATGCGTCACTTTTGCAATGTTGACCTTCCGTGACGTCATTTATGACGTCATCAAGGTCATATTAGTTTTTCGTCCATAACTCCCGATCAAATTGAGCTAGCGAGTCGAGAAAGCCACCAATGGACTCAGGAAGACCTGCCGAATCGAATGATATGCGACATGACCTCTGTCGACCAACTTCGTGACCTAGGGGTGCTGACCTGACCTTGACCTGAGGTCAACACCCCAAGTTGACCTGACCCAAACAAAAAGTATATCATTCGACGCGCCTGAGCGAGGCGAACACGATGCTGCCAAAATCGCGGCTCTGCGGCCGTTTTTTGCGAAGTTATTCACCAAAAACTGAACCGTACCCTGGGGCACTTGACCTGACCTCAGAGGTCACCGGTTAACCTAGGACCTTAAAATCGGGTACCAGTCTCTGCGTCTCGTAACGGCGCACACGCTCGTTTTTTCCGCGACGCGCTCGCTCCACCAGGGGCGAAACGGCGAGGGGGGGGGTCGTACCCGCCCCCCCCCCCTCGGCCGGCGCGTATGTAGAAAACCAATAGGTCCGGCGAGGGTTAACAAATGTTTCAAATGAGGTAGTATTTAGCAGGGCTGCGGAGTCGGAGTCGGAGTCGGAGTCGGTCGGAGTCGACAGTTGTGACCGGAGTCGGAGTCGGAGTCGGAGTCGATTTTAGAAACCCGAGCCGGAGTCGGAGTCGGAGTCACCGAAAATCTGTCGACTCCGCAGCCCTGCTAGGTCTGCGGAGTCGGAGTCGGGAGTTGGAGTCGGTCGGAGTCGACAATTCTGCCCGGAGTCGGAGTCGGAGTCGGAGCTGGTTTTTGAAAGCCGGAGTCGGAGTCGGAGTCGGAGTCGCCGAAAATCCATCGACTCCGCAGCCCTGGTATTTAGTCTGAACTCTTAATGTACTGGTACAAATAACAATTGCTAAAAAAATCACTACATTGCTCAAAATGGATGCTTAATTTTCTGAACAGTTAGTAATATATCATCAACTTTTGATAGACAATATGTTAATTTTGACCATAGATACACTTCTATCCACACAACTACACCTAAATGCATGAAAACCGAATGAAGTTAAATGTACTCTAATTACTGAACCACTCAATGCTACAGCTATTTAATGCCATCAGCTAGAGGCAATCAGGGAGCAGGCTGCAGGCATTCAGGAGGTAGGATCAAGTACCTTTATCTTATCAAATCAGTTGGGGAAACTACGAGGCGAATGTCAAAAAATGGATTGGTCAATAAATGGACTTTTGATGACCATATATGGGCATAAATGCAGCCCCCACTACTAAGGGTGAAAAACGGTATAACAAGCCGGTACTTGCGGTATCGCGTCCAAACGGGTGAGACTAAATGCTTACTTCGAAATCTAAGCTGCGTTGCGGCATTGGCGGTTATGTGCGGCGTGTATGCCGCATGATTAGTAAGCGACGACCACTAAATTAAAGACTCAAACGCTCCGACCGGTTTTCAATGAATAACACTGCATACCAAAAATGCCAATCGCTCTCGTCATAAGATATTTAGATTTAAATAACTAAGTTATCTACATCATCATTTTGAACCAAATTAACCCTCGCCGGCCGAGGGGGGGCGGGTGCCGCCCCCCCCCATAGGGTTTTTTCGCGATAGCTCCGAGCACGCTGGCGATAGATAGCTGAAGCTTAGCATACCTGACCTTTGATTCAAGCCGGATCTTTTGACACCAACCGCATTTTTGGGTCAGGTCAGGTCACTGACCTATGACGTCATAAGTGAACCTCTGCACGGTCTTCAGATGTCGCAACTTCACAACGCCCTCACTGCCAGAGGAGATGTCACAGGGAAATGAAACTTGCAGGATCTAGTATCCATTATAAGTCTCACAACTTGTATATCTCGGATTTTTCCTAAAGGTCATATGAGGTCAGGTCATTTTCGTGACCTCACCATTATAAGTCAATGGGGAAAAATGAAAACTGCTATTCTGGCGCCGGGAACGATCTCCAACTATCTCAAGCACACAGAATCGTGATTTGATGCACTCCTTGCAAGGTTAGATGCGTCACTTTTGCAATGTTGACCTTGCGTGACGTCATTTAAGACGTCATCAAGGTCATATTAGTTTTTCGTCAATAACTCTTGATCAAATTGAGCTAGCGAGTCGGAAAAGCCACCATTGGACTCAGGAAGACCTGCCGAATCGAATGATATGCGACATGACCTCTTTCGACCAACTTCGTGACCTGGGGGTGCTGACCTGACCTTGACCTGAGGTCAACACCCCAAGTTGACCTTACCCGGACAAAAAGTATATCATTCGACGCGCCTGAGCAAGGCGAACACGATGCTGCCAAAATCGGCGCTCTGCGGCCGTTTTTTGCGAAGTTATTCACCAAAAACTGAACCGTACTTTGGGGCACTTGACCTGACCTCAGAGGTCACCGGTTGACCTAGGACCTTAAAATCGGGTACCAATCTCTGCGTCTCGTAACGGCGCACACGCTCGTTTTTTTCCGCGACGCGCTAGCTCCACCAGGGGCGAAACGGCGAGGGGGGTCGTACCCGCCCCCCCCCCCCCCCTCGGCCGGCGCGTATGTAGAAAACCAATAGGTCCGGCGAGGGTTAATACTTCCAACTTAACTCACTCATTCCTTCCTTTGTTGGCTCCAAACAGTCTTTCGATTGTCTGGAAATCGTATGCCAAATCCCGTACCTGTATGCGACTGGTGCATATATGTAAAGGCCGATGTAAGAATTTGAATACGCTCTCGCATGCGATTTCGTGGCTAAAAAAAGGTCTGTTTCAATCATGCTATATCAAAACATGATATGTCAGCCCGGTCACCGGCTTATGGTGCTCTGCTTGTAGTGCCCCTGATCGTCACCGACTCTCTTCCCTCCTGAACCCTCGCCCGTTTTGGTGTTTTTCCAGCCGCGAACGTATAAGGAGGGGTCCGTTGGACCCCTCCTTGCCGTTTGGCCCCTGATCGAGCTAGAGCTTCGCAAAAAAACGAGCGTGTTGCCCATCACGAGAGGAAGCCGATGATATCCAATTTTAAGGTCCTAGGTCATCGGGTGACCTTCCAGGTCAGGTCAATGACCCGAAAATCGGGAAAATCGGGACCTGTTAGAAAGTCGTAAAGTGTGGCTGCCGTGGGGTTTTCCGGGGTGCTGATCACGAATATCGTGTTAGTTTTGATCAGAGATGATGTCTTTAAGCATTTAGACCAGGTCGGGTCAGGTAAGGTCAACCGGTAGGGGTCGTGACGGGTATTCGTAATACGTGTCAACCGCTTCTGCAGCTTCGTAACATGTTACGAATGCACCAAAACTAATTCGTAAATGTTCAAATGGTTGCTAAATTCGAAATCAGCTTAAAAACAAGCCTAGAAACATGTAAAACTCGAAAAAGTGAACCGAGGTCACCAAAGGTCAATGACCTGACCTGACCTTCAGGTGACCTTGACATCCACCCTAATGCATGGGAGCAACATCAAATCACAGGTTTGAATGTTTGAAACCACGAGAAGCTTGCAAACGCGCGGCTAATGCGAGCCGACATACCTACGCCGAATCGCGATTCCGGCCAAACATGGTCTCGGAAAGTAGATCACAGGTCAAAGGTCATTTCGGTCAGGGTCATGAAATTTTCAGGGTGGGTGTAAAATTGATCAAATTGAGGGTACTGAAAAATTCGTCGCGATCAGTCGCTTTTTACGCGAGTTATTCGCGAAAAACCTTAGGGGGTTGCATTAACCCCCCCCCCCCCTGTGCCGGCGAGGGCTAAGTTGAAAGTATTAATTTGGTTCAAAATGATAAGCTAGCTATTTGAAGCTAAATATCTCTTGACGAGAGCGGTTGGCATTTTTGGTAAGCAGTGTTATTCATTGAAAACCGGTCGGAGCGTTCGAGTCTTTAATTTAGTGCTCGCCGCTTACTAATCATGCGGCATACACGCCGCATATAACCGCCAATGCCGCAACGCAGCTTAGATTTCGAAGTAAGCATTTAGTCTCACCCTATCGCGTCCACTTATTGGAGAGAAAAGGCTTCCATTTTTCACTAGGAATTAGTGTGATTTGATTAAATCCGGCGAATTGACTCGAGAATGGCGATAGGAAAACGGCTTTTCTGCAGGTTCTGGGCGTCACAATCAGCTGGCCATTCAATAAATGGATTGGTTTTATGAAAGAAAATTGTTAAAAGATTTAGTTTAATTACAATAAACAAAAATATTTAATTCTAAAATAATAACTTAACTACAATTAGAAAAATCATAAACAAAATAATAAAAATAATGAC